CCCCCGGCCTCAGGCCACGGGGCTGGGGCGCTCTCCCGCCCCCCCTCCCCACACAGCCTGGCTTCTGGTCCATGGAAAGCACAATGGCGGCCATCTTTAATAGGGGCAGCTTCACTCTCAGGTGCCCAGAATGTAGGGAAGTGGTGGCCATCTTGATTGAGGGCTGTTTGGCTTCAGTCCCCTGCCGGGAAGGGGAGCTGGCGGCCATTTTACATGGGGAGACATTGGTGCGTGTGAGGCCAGGAGCCAGGCGCTGGTGCAAGTCGGCAGCTTTGATTTTCCTTCCCTCGCCCACCGGTCTCCCTTCTTCTGAGCGCCCAGCCAGGCCTGGTGGGAGGCTGGCTGGGGCTAGGCTTCTCAGGCTGTCATGGACCCTGTTCTGCAGTGCCCACCCCCCTCAGCTGTATGGCCCGCACAGCCGCCCTCTGCCCCACGCCCGCCCTTGCACTCACGTCAACCCCCCTACCCGGCACACACGCTGGGGCACTCACTTCCACACGCAAGCAACCACTCCTCCAGGAGACACAGAAACACACCCACCATACACACAGAGCAACCCCCCCTCGAGTACACACCCAGCACACACACAAAAGTACTGCAGGCTCATGCATACACCCCCAGAGTACACACAGAGCATGCAAGCACCCCAGAGTGCACACAGAGCATGCATGCACCCCCAGCATAGGGGCACTCACTTCCACACGCAAGCAACCACTCCTCCAGGAGACACAGAAACACACCCACCATACACACAGAGCAACCCCCCCTCGAGTACACACCCAGCACACACACAAAAGTACTGCAGGCTCATGCATACACCCCCAGAGTACACACAGAGCATGCAAGCACCCCCAGAGAGCACAAAGTGGAACATACACGCACCCCCAGAGTGCACACAGAGCATGTATACACCCCAGAGTGCACACAGAGCATGTATACACCCCAGAGTGCACACAGAGCATGTATACACCCCAGAGTGCACACAGAGCATGTATACACCCCAGAGTGCACACAGAGCATGTATACACCCCAGAGTGCACACAGAGCATGTATACACCCCCAGCACCCCCAATGTACACAAAGAGCATGCACGCAGCCCCAGCATACACACAGAGCATGCATGCACCTCCAGCACCCCCAGAGTACACACGGAACATACACGCACCCCCAGAGTGCACACAGAGCATGTATACACCCCAGAGTGCACACAGAGCATGTATACACCCCAGAGTGCACACAGAGCATGTATACACCCCAGAGTGCACACAGAGCATGTATACACCCCAGAGTGCACACAGAGCATGTATACACCCCAGAGTGCACACAGAGCATGTATACACCCCCAGCACCCCCAATGTACACAAAGAGCATGCACGCAGCCCCAGCATCACACAGAGCATGCACACATACCCCAGCACCCCCAGAGTACACACGGAGCATACACGCACCCTCAGAGTGCACACAGAGCATGCACTCACCCCCTGGGCCCCCAGAGTGCACACAGAGCATGCATGCACCTCCAGCACCCCCAGAGTACACACGGAACATACACGCACCCCCAGAGTGCACACAGAGCATGTATACACCCCCAGCACCCCCAATGTACACAAAGAGCATGCACGCAGCCCCAGCATACACACAGAGCATGCATGCACCTCCAGCACTCCCAGAGTACACACGGAGCATACACGCACCCTCAGAGTGCACACAGAGCATGCACTCACCCCCTGGGCCCCCAGAGTACACACAGAGCATGCCTACGCAGGGAGTTCCCCGGGCTGAGCTCATGGCCTGTGTTTCCTCACACTGGCAGCGAATTCCCCACTGTTCAGTATCCCTGACTCCCCCCTTGCGCTGGTACCTGGAGGCCGGGAAAACCCATGGCCCGGATCTCCCCTCTCTACCCTCCCTGGCCAAGCACCCTCTTCCCTGTCTCTGGGGTTCACACGCAGCCCTTCCCTGCGTGCAGTGTATGGAGAGCAAAGTGGGCACCCTGCCCTGCTCCCATCCCCCTCTGGCTGGCACTCACTGCGGGGCAGGGAGAGAAATGGGGCTCAGCAAATGGCTTCCCCAGCTGCTGGCCCTGCCCCTGCTCCCTCGGTGGCAGCTACGTGGGCACAGGGACGTGGGCAGGGAAATCCCCCAAGCTCAGTGCAGCGGCCCCGGCGAGAGAGACTCCCAGGGTCTCTGCCCACATGGAATGCGGCCGGGCGGCATTTCACGCCCACGCAGCTTGGCCAGGGAAATAGAGTCAGCGGGTTGGGCTGCTGCTGACCCGGGTTCTGCTCTTGCCCATGGAGCACCCCAGGGGCGGCTAACAGGAGAGGCAGCACAGACTAGTGGTTAGAGGAGCAGGGGCCGGGGTGTCAGGACTCCTGGGTTCTATTCCCAGGGCTGAAGGGGTGGCTAGGGCAGGCTGCCTGGTGCTGTTCCTCACTCTGGGCTGTTAGAGAAGGACTCCTGCATGCTGTACCTATCTCTACTTGCTCCTGAACTGGGACAAGTCCGGTCACCTTTCTGTCCCCCTTCCCGGGGGCTGAGAACTTGCATTGATCTTGAAATGCTCAGAGGCCTTTGAGAAGGAAAGGCAAAGAATTGCTATTAGGTTTGCCTTAGCGTCCGTTGGATCATTTCCAACCTGGTGTCTCATCCTCAACCAAGGAAGGGCCACAGGATGACTGGGAATAACTTGAGACCAACCTGTGGAACTCACCGCTACAGGAGGCCATGACTGAGAATACCACTGGAAGAGGACCAAACAGCTGTCTTGCTCCAGGGTGTCATCCGATCACTGCTGGGAGGGGTCAGGCAGGAACGTCCCCAACTGTTGCTTGACTTGCCAGTGGGAATATTCTCCTTTCTTCTAAAGCAGCGAGTGGGCTGGGGCAGGCGAGGCGATGGGACCAAGGCGCTGCTCTGGAGCGGCAGGGCTGCTGTGCATCCGTAGCGCCCCTGGAATGAGGAGACGAACGGTCCAGAGCTGAGACTCACCCCTGGCTGGGACCAGCCCGTCGGTGCGAATCCGCAGCCTCTGGTAGTCGCACGGCAGCAGGATTTGGCCTTACGAGAGCTCCCTTTCTCCTGATGCACCCCCGCCCCGGCTCCGGCCTTCTCCCGCCCCCACCCAGGAGCGCCCCCTGCCTTTTGCTGGCAATTCCCAGCAGCCCCCCACTCCCCTGCGCTGACTCCCCTGCGCCCCCAGCTGTCATAATTCGTTTGTCCGGGACAAAGGAGCCTGGAATAAGTCAGCTATTGTCCCTGCTGGGGGCTGGGGCCTCTCTGTCCCGTCCTCCTGTTACTCCTGCATGCCGGCCAAAGAGCCCCCTTCCCGCCCCTTCCCGAGCCGACTCCTCCCAAGAATCTCCCTGCAGGGCCTGGGAGCTGCTAAAATGTAACCAGAGAGAGAAGTCCAGTACCCACAATGCACCAGGCGTGGGCTGTGGGCCGTGTGCAGTCCCTCTTGCACGAGGGTCGATTTTATTCCGGTCACTACGGTAGCGCCACGGGGGCTCCTGCAGGGGGAGAGGCGTGGCCCTGCCCCAGGCCCCCATCCTGGGCGGCTGAGAGGGCGTCTCCCGGAGCCAGCGGTGACAGCCGGGGGCTCCAGCAAAGGGTCAGAGCTTCGTGCAGATGGGGGAGGGGCCACTCTTCTCCCTCAGGTGGCTAGCAGGCCCAGGTGACTCCCAGAGCCTGCCTGGGGCTCTAGGGACCTGAGTTCTAGTCCCAGCACTGTTCTGTGCCTCAGTTTCCCGTCCCACCCACTGTAAGTTCTTAGGGACGAGGCGGGACAGTGAGTCTGGACTCCCAGGGCGTGTGAGGAAGCTGGGGGTCAGGGCTCCTGGGAGGGAGCAGTGCTTTGCTGGTGAGAGCAGGGCTCGGGGAAGGTCGCTGGGAGCAGGCGGGTCTGGTCAAGACACTCTTGGACGTGGGGGCGCTCGGGTCGGTGCTGGCCGTTCTGCTTCCACGCGGGGTGGGCGAAGCCGCAGGGAGAGCCTCCCCCTCCACTTCCTGCAGGGCGGGCGGCGCCAAAGGCCACGCTCGGGTACTTCGGCTGCGCAAGTGACGTATCTCAGCTCACCCTCGTCCCGCCGGGCAGGCGCCCCCTGGGCTCTGTCCCTGACTCTGCCACTGACTTGTCAGCGCAATGGAGCAAAGTGGGATCTGCGGCCGGCCGCGCTTCGCACGGTGAGAAGGGGGCTTGTCAAAGCGCAGTGGGAACAAGAAGAGTCCTGGTGTGGGGTTGGGCCATTCCCACAGGGCAGGGGTCGAGCTACCAATGAAAAGGCAGAAGAGTTCAGTGCATATTCGCGTCCTGTGCCTGGGGGAATGTGATGGAGTCACATCATGTGATAATTCTCTTTCCATGTCCAGAGGGGGAGCTGGGAGCCGTGTTAGTCTGTTTCAGCACAAACCAGGAGTCCTTTGGCACTAGTATATAAGGGGGAAGCTAAACAGATGCTTCTAAAGTAAGACGTTTGTAAACGTCCAGCTCCAGAGAGCTGGAATCCAAGAGTTTTAGAAGAGCTGGCCGAGGAGCAAGTGGGCCGGCTAAAACCGATTTTCCCTGGGGAAGCCCCAGAAGACTGGAAGACAGCGAATGCAATGCCAATACTCTGACAAGGTGACCAGGATGAGACCAGGCCTCAGTCTGACGTCCATCCTGGTCACGGTAATGGAGCTTCTGCTTACGGGACATCACTGGAATGGAAGGAAGGCTCCTCAGGGAGCCCTGGACAGGGGAGTTAGTGTCTTTGTGCAGGACTCTTCTCTAGCCTGCTGCTGCCGCCCGGGGCGTGAGCGCACGCGATGGGGAACGCTAATTCATTGTCCTTGAGAAGGCCGCAGTGGCGCTGGCTGAGCGGGGCAGCCGCAGAGGAACCCCGTGTGCCAGGGACTGAAGGGGGATGTGCTGCAGCGGGTACGTCTGGGTGCTGCTCTGAGAAGGGGACCGAGAGCCCCAGGGACGGGCCCTTCCAAGGAGCATTTCTTGCCCCTCACTGGGAAGCAGCCGCATAGTGGCACTTGGGCCCCGAGGTGCTGGGGGGGCTCACTGGGACAAAGAGGGGGTGAAGGACAAGGGGGGGGCTCACTGGGACAAAGAGGGGGTGAAGGACAAGGGGGGCTCTGGGACGAGGCTCTGGTGTGTAAACCAAAGGAAGGGCAGGCAGGAGATCTGGGCCTCGTGAGGTGGTGGATCTGCCCGACTCCCCTGAGCTCTGCCCACAACCCTCCTAGGCCGGCTCATCCCGGGGGCCTTGCCTGGAGCGAATTGCTCACCAGTTAACTGCAGACTCGCCCCTCCTGCGTGTCTGGGCTCTGGCCCTTCATGGGTAAAGTCCAGGCGAGTCCTGGCAAAGCCCCACAGCCGCCTTCGAAGGGCGTTAGCAGAAGGGGACTAAATCAGCCATCGATTCCACAGCCCCTTAGGGGCTCGGTGTGTGAGGCTGCCAGCTGGGGTCTGCCGCTGCTCTGTGCCTCAGTTTCCCCCTCTGTGAAATGGGGCAATGCCCCCACAGCATGGCTCCCTAGACAGGAGTGTTACTGGTGTGGCCTGGGCAGCCCCCAGCTGAGATATAAACGGTGGGGGGAAAAGCCAGCGCCTGGGGGCAGGCGTCTCAAACATCACCAGTGTCTCCCCAGGGAGGGCAGGGCTGGATCTGGCATTAGGAGAACTGGGTTCTAGTCCTGGCTCCGCCACTGGCCCAGAGAAATCGTCTCCACTTCTCCCGGCTCTGTTCAGACTGAGCTCTGCCCACCTGCAGCTCCTAGTGCCACGGGGCCCTGCCCACAGGAGTCCTGTGGAAATGACCACGGCCCACTTGAAATGGACTGAAACTGACCGAGAGTCTCCACATTTAAATGAAGGGACCCCCTCATCAAACCTGTGTTTCCCACCGGCCCGGTTCCTGGCCCAGTGCCAGTTCACATCCCTATTAATCACCTGGAAGAGGAAATCAAATCATCCCTAACGAAGGGATGAACCCTGCAGCGACCCAGGGTCTGGAGGAGGGGCGGATGCTGGAGGACAGGTCGTGGGTGTGTCTGGGGACAAAGAACCCAGGGCGTGTGCCTCGGCGGGGGGGGCGAGGGGGGACTGTACCTGGGGAGCCGTGACTCTGAAACTGATCTGGGGGGGTGTGGCGCAGAATCGGCTGCACACGAGCTCCCGGGGCCCCCCGGGGCCAAAGGGCCGATGTGACCGGAGCTGGGTAAGCGGGAACCTCAGGCTGGAGCAGAGAGGGGAGGTGACCCCTGTGCCGGGCCAGGGATCAGGGCTCCAGCTCTGGGGCCCCCGGCTCAGGAAGGTTGTGGATAAATTGGGGAGGGGGCAGAGCCAGGAGAAAGCTGATGGAGAGGAACCGGGCCTGGCCATGGGACCCTGGGAGCGTCCGTCAGAGACGGTTGAGGGAAGACTTGATCCCAGGGCTGTCGACCTGCTGCTGGCTTTGCCAGCCCCGAGTCCTGGTCTCCGGGCGGCCCCTGTGGGGTTCCCCAGCCCCACTGGCTTTGCCACTCCCACCTGTGGCCCTGCTGGTGCTTGGGATCCATGGGAACAATGTCCCGGGTGGTGGCAGATGCTCAGCACTGGCGTTTTAGAGCCAGGGGCTGCGTGGCTCAGGGCAGGTCCCGGGCCTGGTTCTGCCCAGGATCAGCTCCCTTCTGCGGTTGGAAGCTGCAGCTCGGTGGCGCTAGGCCTTCGCTCACTGCAGGCAGGCCCCTGAGCTAAAGGAGAGTAGTTTGTTCTCCACATGGGGGGCAGCCAGCTGGGGGCCGTGCCACGCCCAGTCAAAACGCCCCCCGCCCTGCTGCCGCCCAGGATGGGTGACTGGCGGCCTGCTGGCCCTAGTCTCTCTGCCGCTCGGAGGAAACCTTTGACCCTCCCATGGGAGCCCAGCACCTCTGCCCCATTTCAGCCCCAGTGCAGGGCTGGGCTGGTAATGGGTAACCAGGGCCTGCCACACTGAGTCAGCGAGTTGTGACCGGCTCAGCCTGTTCCCCTCCGTTGCCCTCCCTGCCATGTGGCTGAGAGCCACATCCCCCCACCCCACGTGGGCAGCAGCTGTGCTCCCAGAGCCCCAACATGGGGGTTCATGCCACATGGGATGCACCCCGCTCGTTGCCTCAGTTTCCCTCAGGCTAACATGTCTCCCACATTGCGACCTCTAGATGCAGGGGCTGGAGGGACAGGGATCCTGTGGACTCGGAGCTCTGCTGGAGACAGGCCCTGGTAGCCATGTGTGGTGGCGCGTCGGGGGTCCCCCACCCCCTGCACTCCCGTAATGGCACGAACAGACCTCACCAGCCAGTGGAACAGAGAGATTTTATTGCTTCTCCAGGATACAGCCCAGCACAGATGTCATCTGGTTCCAGGGCAGGGCTAGGATGCCTCAGCCCCCCTTGAGCTGGGGGAGACTGGGCCCCTAAATCCCAGCCCCTTTCCCTAGGCTGTCTCCTCCATGCTCCCAGACAGCAACTAAAACTCTCCTCCAGCCCTGCCCCCAGCCAGGTGCTGGTCTCTGCCCCCCTCCCTTTGTCTCTCCCTGGGAGGCTGCGCCTGGGTGTCTGGGTTAATACACATTTGGGAGAGTCCGTGAGAATCTCCCATCACAGCGCAGGGAGACCCCGGGTCACAGAGCAGACACCCCCCCACTACGCCACATGTGAGCAACCCCTCTCGAAGAACAGCAGTTACGAAAGGTACGTAACCATTTCTTCTTGGTCGAGCGATGGCTCATGTCCATTCCACGTAGGTGACTCCAAAGCAGAAAGCCAGGAGGTGGGGTCGGAGTCCTAACCTTCCACGGAGCGGAGAACAGCCCCACCGAGAGCAGCATCCTCCCTGGCCTGGTGAGACAATGCATAACGGTTGGTAAAGGTGTGGACCGAAGACCACGTGCTGCCCCACGAATGTCCAGGATGGAGACCTGAGCCACAAAGGCTGTGGAGGAGGCCTGGGCCCTAGTGCAGTGGGCCATCAAAGCAGGGGCCGGCACCCCCACCAGAGTATAACGCTCCTTGATGCAGGATGTGAAATCCTCTGAGCGGAGACCCGCTGCCCCTTTAGCCTCCGTGATTGTGACAAACAACTGTGGGGACTTACAAAAGGGCTTTGTCCTGTCTAGATAAAAAGCGAAGAACCTCCCGTCATCCAGCGGGCAAGGCCTGTTCCTTAGCAGAAGCATGCGGCTTGGGGTAAAGCACTGAGACATGAAACCGAGACATCTCCTTTGGCAGGAAGGCCGGGTGGACCAGAGTCTGATTTTATCCTTTAAAAAAAACCCCATGTAACGGGGATCTGAGGTGAGAGCCCTGAGCTCTGAGACACGTCTGGCCGACATGATAGCCACCAGGAGCGACACTTTCCAAGACAGGCCTAGGAGCAAGCACGTTGCCAGAGGTGCAAAAGGGGGCCCGGTGAGCTTGGTCAGGACCAGGTTGCGGTCCCTCGGTGGAACAGGATGCTGGACATGCAGATAAAGCCTGTCCAAGCCCTTCAGAAATCTGTGGACTGTGGAGTCCACGAAAAGCATCTTACCCCAGAAGCCTGGGGTGGAAAGTAGAGACAGGTGCCAAGTGGACTCTAATGGATGAGGGGGGCCGTCCTTGGACCCTGAGTTGAGGAGATAGAAGCCCAGGTCCCACTGGTCCTGGACTATGGGAGGAATCCCCCTTCTGAGTAGCCGAAATAGAGAAATGCTTCCATTTGGCCAGGTACGTGGCCCTAGTGGAAGGCCTCCTACTCCCTAGCAGAACCTCCTACACCCGCTCTGTCAGCTGTGGAGCTTCCAAGCCATGAGGTGCAGGGACCGCAGGTTCGGAGAGTGAGGGAAGCCCCAAACTCCCGAGCCCTCAGGATCACCTTGTGTACCAGCGGCAACGGAGGGGGGAGGAAGGGGGATGCGTAAAGCGGACCAACCCACAGCCCTGCCTCTACCTACCCATCCCAGACACACCCCACCCTTGCATCCACCCCCTCCCCATCCCTCCCTCCCTGTGCCCTGCCTTTATCCATCTCCTGACATAACCCCTATCATAGAGGACTGGGATTGGAAGACCACAGGAGGTCGGCAAGTCCACCTCCCACTACTTCAGGGCTACGCAGCTTTGGAAGCCCCGGGGGCACAGTGATCCTCACAGCACATGTGGAAAGCTGCACCCGGAGTGCGGTTGCATACACCTGCAAA